GACGCCTACAGCCTCCTCCTGGAGCCGCGCCCTCCACCCCGGGCGAGGGCGGCGCCCCGCAGGGGATGGGCCTGGCGGGCGTGCTCACCCCGTGCTTCGCCTGCAACTCTGCCAGCCTCTGCTTCCGCAGCGCCTCCAGCTCCTCCTCCGCCATGCTGCGGGGTCCGAGTTGAGCAGCCGCGACCGCACTCTGGTCCACACAGCGAGTTACCTCCCGCTGCCCAGCGGCGCGAACGCGGCCCTCCCCACTGCGCAGGCGCCCGTAGCAGCCAGGCGTCACCAATCTAACCCGGAGCCGCGCCGCCGGACGCAGTCAGGGCGCCGAAAGAGGCCCGATTCCGCGATCGCAGGGGGTGGGGGCGGGACGGTGGGCAGAGCGGGTGGGCGGAGCCTTCTCCAGCGCTGCCCCACCTCCCCGCCACGAATCGTTGCTCTGCACTTGCCGGCACCACCTGGTCTACTTCGAGTTTGCGGGAGGGAGAAGAGAAATCTTGAAGGAGGCCATCATCAAAAAATGTAATAATAACAGGTAGAATTTGTTAGTGGCCTGTTATGTGCTAGGCTCATGTTATCTCCATTTACAGGTGAGGATCCTGGGGCGTAGGAAGGCTAAGGGGGGGTGATGAAAATTCTAAAACTGGATTGCGGTGAGGTTTGCACAACTCATTTGCTGAAAAAAAATTAAATTGTACACTTAAAATGGGTAAAAGGGGTGCCGGAGGCGGAGATAGAAGAGACTTCTTAATGGTCACCCGGCCATTAAGAAGGCAAATTAAAGCACACTTGGAGGGTGAAACTTGGACACAGACCGGGCCTTTCCTCCGAGGCTGTGGGGTGTAGTGTAAACTTCTGGACACCTCTTTCCCCAGGAGGCTGTTGGAGGATGTTAGGGTGGGGAGCTGTGGCTGCTTGAACTCCCTGCCAGGACGCTCGAGTGTTTGGAGTAGGGGCAATCATGTGTGTGGAGGGGGAGCTGGTGGAATATGCAGCTCCCTAATCCTGTTAATCATGCAGGTTATACACCTACTGTTTTTTTCAGTTCTGGCAAAATATAAATTTTACCATTTTAACTATTTTTAATATACGGTTTAATAGTGTTATATTCTCGTGTTGTGTAACAAATCTCTAGAACTTTTTATCTAGTGAAACTGAGACTCTAGACTTTTCCAAATCCTTGGAAACCACAATTCTATTTCTGGCTCTATGAATTTGACTACTCTAACGACTCCTCATAAGTGGAATCATATAGTATTTGTCTTTTTGTGACTGGCCTATCTCACCATAGTGTCCTCAAGGTCCATTCATGTTGCAGCATGTGTTAGAATTTCCTTCCTTTTTAAGGCTGAAAAATGTTCCATCATATGTTCCATCAAATGTTCCATCACCACATTTTGTTTATAAATGGACACGGGATATTTCCACTATAGGCTGTTAATAATGCTGCTGTGAATATTAGTGTATAAATATCTCTTTCAATTCTTGAGTCTTGACTCCTAATTCAGGGTATCACGGTTTAGACCATTCATGAAATGGGTGGTGTGATGGCTCACGTGACTTCCACTCACAAACAGCAGTCTTGGGTTAGGAGGATGCAGACATACCTGGCCAGGTTTCACTCATGAAGAGAAAGAACAAGAATCATGGTAAGACAGAATCAGCAGAGACAGGTATTCTCACGTCATTCCTTAAATCAAATATACTCCCAATGGATCATTTAAAGGTTTAAACAATAAATCACAAAACTACAATAAATTCTTTACGTAGGTGTGACTATTTTAGAGCAGAAATTAAAAGACTCTCCATGAAACCATCTGGATTGGGCCTCTCTTTTAAATATATCCTTTTGACAGTTTTTAAATTTTTCTAGGGTCATCAGCCTGTTCAAGTTTTCTGTTTCTCAAGATAATTTTAATTTCTGGAGAACCATTCATTACCTTCAGGGTTTCACATTTTAGAAATGTTTGGCTATCACACCTGTATATGGGGTTGTAGCTTTTTTAGGGATTGACTGTTGACTTGGTTTATTTGGGTTGTTTCGTTTTTCTTGATATTTTCTAGCCATTTTTTTTCCAAAAGAAATCAAATTTATCAGTATTCTTTCATAATTTATTACTTTATCTTTATTTCTACCTCTTTCCCCATTGAATGGCCTTGGCACTCTTGTTGAAAATAATCTGCCCATATATGTGAGAGTTTATTCCTGTACTATTTTATTCCATTGTTCTATATGTCTTATCTTCATACCAGTACCACACTGTCGAATACTATAACTGTAGTAAATTTTGAAATCAGGAAATGTGAGACCTCCAACTTTTCTTCAAGATTTTGGCTATTCAGGGTCCCTTGAGATTCCATATAATTTTAGAATAAATTTTTCCATTGCTTCAAAAAACACCATTGAGATTTTGACAGAGATTGTGTTGAATCTGTAGATTGCTTTTGGTAGTATTGTCATCTCAACAATATTAGGTCTTCCAATCCATAAATACAGGTTATTCTTCTATTTGTGTCTTCTTTCAGCAACATTTTGAAGTTTTTGGTGTACAAGTCTTTTGCCTTCAAGTTTTAGTTTATTTCTACGTATTTATTCTTTTTTATGCTAATATGAATGGTATTTTCTGAATTTCCTTTCTGGGCTGTTCATAGTTAATGTATACGACTAAAACTGACTTTTGTGTGTTGACTTTGTATCCTGCAACTTTGCTCTATTTATTAGCGCTAGTTTTTAAATGAAATCTTTAGGCCTTTCTACATGTAAGATCATGCTGTTTGCAGAGAACTCTTCCTTTTAAATTTGGATGCTTTTTCTTTTTCTTGCCTACTGGCTCTGGCTAGGACTTTCAGTACTATGTTGAAGAGATATGGTGAAAGTAAGCATTCTTGATTTGTTCCTAATCTTACAGGAAACCTTTCAGTCTATCACTATTGAGTATGATGTTAGCTGTGGGTCTTTCACATATGACCTTTAGTATCTAGAGGTAGTTACCTTCTATTCCTAGTTTGTTGTGTTTTTATCATGAAAAGGTGTTGAATTTTGTCAAGTGTTTTTTCTGAATCAAGATGATGATGATGTGGCTTTTTCTCCCTTCTTTTTCTCTGATCTATTATTTAACTTTCACACATTCAAACTTCCTTGTACTCCAGGAATTCCACCTGTTCATGGTAGATAATCCTTTTACTATGTATCAGACCCCTGCCAAGTGCATCTAGAGATGGCTAAAGAATGCACTCACTGATGGATACTATCCAGCTGTAGAAAGGGATAAGGAATCACATGTACTTGGGTTAGTTTTCTATGCTACATAACTAATTACAGTTGGCTGAAAGCTGCAGGCATGTGACAAAGCATGCAGGCTTCTCTGCTCAGGGGTCATCACATCAGAGGTCCTGGTTGGTGGCAGAATTCAGTTCCTTGCAGTGAAAGAATTGAAGTTGTGTCCTTGCTGCTTTGTGGCTCCCTCAAGGCCTGCAGCACCTCAAGGCCTGCAGCAACATCCTGTTCTGCTGCTTCCTTGCACCTCTGCCTTCAGGGAACCACGGCTGCTCTTCTCGTCAGTTTTGCCCACACTCAGGGAGAAATCCCGGCCTATCCTCCAGAGGCAGAATCCCAGGATCATCCTAGAATCTTGCTACCCCAGCCCCAGGGGGGATGATTAGTGGACAAAGGACCCCATTGCCCTAGCAGTGCTGCCTTGGGGCTGACAGTCAGACATACAGGTAGCCATACTCCCTTGAAGGAATCACACCTCTACTAAGTACACACATTTTGTCTTAATCTGTTTTTCATCTTTCCCCAGATGCAGGGTCACAACCCCTTGGGATTCAACCAGGGGACTGAGCATGAATTTGGGGATTCTGAGGCTGATCAGCACTATCTACCCTCCAGGCCTCCAGCTCTGCCTTCATGCAGCCTTCCTCAACCTCACTGCTGCCCGCCCAATCCCTGTCATTTCCTGTACAGGCTCACAACAAACTTGGGCCAGTCCTGGATGACATTAAAATAAACCTATAAACGCACCAACAGCATTCCCACGCGGTACGCAGGATCAGGCCTATATCCTGGATGGCTCCACCAGATGGCTCATCTAGCTTACCTGTTGAGGGGGCCAGAGCCTGTCCCTGTTAACTGAATACTTGCTGCACAGAACGAAGGATGGAAAGGGAGAAGAGCCAGGAGAAGCAGCTTACTCAGCATGACACTGTAATACTACCACAGCTAAGCATGGGCAGAGAGCTGTTTCACAGAAATGTAGACAAAGGGCCAAGTGTTAACAGGGTGCTAAAGCATGGGTCCCTCACCCACGGCCTGAGAACTCAGTGGCACAACAATGGAAGGTAGACAGAGTGCGTGCAGAGGTGACTAAAGGTGGATGTCATGTCTAAGGGAAGGCAGGAAATCAGAGCTAGTGCAGTGAGGCCCTCTGCCTATACACACATCTGGAGATCCCTGTGCTCCTGACCAGTGAAGACAACAGCAAGGGTTCTGGTAGAAGGGCAGAGCCACCTGCTCCGGGTAAGTTATTCTAACTCAAGCACAAAACAAATGGAACAGGTATCATCAGGCCATCATCCAGAGGCAGCCCTTCCACATCTTTCAGATTGCCAGGGACACAGCTTAGGTTCAAATTCCCACACCTCCACCTCAGTTGACCTTTATATAGGACACAATTTACACCAAAATCAGTACCTTAAACTATTCATTTTAGATGTTTAGTAGCCCTCCAAATTCTAACAGCTGTTAAGTATAGGGATATACATCAGCCATGACATAAATTTGCACCTGCAGGGAGAGGGTCCACACAAAATATACATACATGTTCAACACAAGACTATCTTTAAGGCTGCTTCTCAAGCGACAACACTGCCTTATCTGAGCATCTAACTTGTAGAAACCCTGACTCTCGATTCAAAGAAACTCAGGCACCATGCTTCCATCAGGGACACAGACAAAACAGTGCTCACACATGAGGAGACCATTTGGCTGGGGTCCATCCTCGCTGAGGCCAGAAGTGGAGGAGCCCTGGTTGAAACTTCCTGGCCAAGAAGGCAGAATGGCTTGAAGGGACAGAAGCCAGTCTTCTGCCCCAGAGCACTTGCACCTTAGAAGTTTGGGTGAAGGGCTACAGACAGGCCAGGAAGAATCTAGGTGTGAATAAAGCAAGGCTGAGGTCCTAAGACAAGAGATGCTAAAATAACTGGAAAACAATTCTGGTTAAAAAATGCAGCTCTATTCATAAATTAGG